ATGCGCACTGGTGGAAGAATGGTGTAAGACTGAAACAATCATGAAAGCTTTGTAACTGCATCTCATGGTGATTCAATAAAAAATTGTCAGAGCCTGGCAAGCTACCCATGATGTATTCGATATGCCAAACACAGTAGCAACAAAGTCTCCAGTGGAGACTTTACTGGGCCTGCTCCAGCAAATCCATGAACAACGGGAGGACAGTGACAGTGACAGTTACAAAATAAAACAGATGAGACAATAAAAAAAGGACTACAAGTTTCAAAGGCACAAGGTTTGACTCTAAAAGAAACGACAACTACAAAATGTAGGCAATTGTGGATGCATTTTTCATTGAAGGTTATCAAATTATTCCTGCAAACATTTCGTGAAAGTTAGCATTCGAATCTGGGTGAAGGGCATATGAGAATATTTGGTACCATTCTGGCAGTATTCATGTGAATCTGAAAATTAAATCTCAAGATGTTAAAACAATTATGAAAGGCAAATAGAACTGGGCAGCTAACATTGCTGCAGATATAATAAACATGTAAATGTCTAGATAAAGGTAAAATAGAAAAATAGAAAACAAGATATAAACTTTATTCTGAAAACTGTAGTATCTTCCAAATCATGTGGGTAGATAGACCACAGGAGTAACCATCAAACACCAAGTCAGAAGTAGTGTCCAAAGTCCCTTTTCATCCAAGTTTCCTTTGTAAAATTGAGCACCAAAATCCTACTTGATTCTCATCCTTTGTCAGGGTAGTCATTTTTAGTTTATGATCCCTTTATCTGAGATAGAACTGAGCTTCATTATTTAGGTAAATTCCTCTGGAATTGAAACACTAACACACCTAACTCAATATAGGACATCTGGTAAATAGAGGAATCTTCCATGACCATATGTGGTCAATGACCAAACCTCATCAGAGATTGAGATTAAGGCAGAGGTCTCCTGCTCTGAATGAGATAACTGAACAGTCCTACAACTCAATTGCTTAAATAAACCATTTTACTACAACAAAAGCTTTTAACTGCTTCAAAGCTGTTGTCTCCTTGCTTCATTCAGATGGCAGCAGTCAATGAAGCAGCACAAAGTCTTAAAAGCGCAGGGTTTGACTTTAAAAGAAAGGACAACTACAAAACTCAGGCAATGGTGGGTATATTTGTTATTACATTAGCAAATGATTCTTCAAAGCACGATTCTTAAAACTAGCTTTTATTAATGTGCACGCAGCACTGGGCTAGACTCTGTAAACCCTGGAATAGAAAACCAGCATGTTATCCTAGCTGGAGATAACCAACTTCTATCCTAAAGAGCATACATGGGGAGTGAACAGAGAAATAGTTCAACAGGTTGGGTGCAGGCTTTGCATGCAGTTCCATCCTCAGGACCACCAGGAGTAATCACCAAGCACTGAATCAGGAGTAGCTTCCGAGCATAACCAAATGTAACCTTCCAAACCAAAACTGTAATAACAATAAGAAGAAAGAAAGAACTCACAGCTGGAGAAAGTCATGGGAATCAAACTAGAGAAAAATGACCAATTATGACACACACAGAAGAAATTACTGGGTCACAATGCTCTATGATGCTAGTTATCACACACTAAACATATCTAAAATTAGAATTTCAAGAACAGTATGGCTGTCATGTCCCCTAACCACTAGGCAACATACAGGGAGTGCAAGGTTATAAATAAGAATGGCAGATAGGGGCTGGAGTGATAGCACAGCGGGTAGGGCATTTGCCTTGCAGGTGGCAACCCGGGTTCAATTCCCAGCATCCCATATGGTCCCTGAGCACTGCCAGGAGTAATTCCTGAGTGCAGAGCTAGGAGTAACCCCTGTGCATTGCCAGGTGTGACCCCAAAAGAAAAAAAAGGCAGATAGTTTACAGTATATGCAAGACAAATTTATGCAAGACCATGCTGATGAAACATGGGAATATAACCACACGTAAACAGAACATGAACATTATGTATAAACAGTGAAGCAGTTTCTTGTGGGTGGAAATTCGGGCTGCAACCTCCCCTATAGAAGGGCAGGAGAAGGCCTCAGAACAAACATGAACTTTGGTTTCAGATACACTGAGATTCATATCCAGCTGCTCCAACAGTGTGAAACTAGACACACAATCATCTAACTTCTGAACTTCTCTTTCTACACAGCTACTATGAGGTTACTTGTTGTACAGTTTAATGTACAATAATAATTTAATGTTAAAAGCATTATCAAGTATCATAAATCCTGTAGTAGGAGTAGCCATTCAACAACCAGTATCTATGGTTACTCTCATGTATCTGTTAGTCACTGTTACTATCATGCCTGGCTTTCCTGGTAGACTGATAAATCACAAAGTCAGAAAATGGATTGTTTCTTGATGGTTGTGGAACTTTAAATTCCTACTATGCTGTCTGATTAATGGGGGAATCAGAATTAGAGAGTGTGCTTCCTTTGCATTTCTTCATGGTTTCCTAGTCAATGTGGAAAGAATCATGAAAATTACAATTAGGTCATCACAATGGCTTAATATTGTTTTAATAGCTTTTGGTGCCTGGCTCTGTAGTAAGGATCATCTTATTTATTTATTTATTTATTTATTTGCTTTTAGAGTCACTCCTGGCTTTGCACTCAGGAATTATTCCTGGCGGTGGTTGGGCACCATATGGGATGCTGGAAATCGAACCTGGGTCAGCCGTGTGCAAGGCAAACGCCTACCCACTGTACTATCTATCCGGCCCCTATTTATTTATTTATTTATTAACATGCCTTTGATTGTATGTCTGAGCATCCCTATAAACAAGACTTAGAACTGTCCTTTTAAGGGCTTAGTAAATGGCGGTACCAGGCTTCAGCCAGACTGGATTCCAGATACTCCTCTGACCTGACCCAGCTGAAAACTTCTCTTGCTCCCATTTAGTGGAGCAAAGTGCCAAAGACCAAGAGTCTTAGAAGTTGAGCCCCAAAAGAGAGTCCTGAAAGAGGGATGGTGAGAACATTGTAAGAACAGACAACAGTTCAGGAGAACTCTGATGGAAAAGAGAAGGTGGATGAGGGTTTGGAAAGAGACTGGCAAAGTGCACACTGGGAACTGGGCAGCTGATACCTTTGCAGGTGACACTAGGGAACACAGAGCCCTGGGATGGGTGGTACTGCAGTCAAGGCTGGGAGGAAACTTGGGGCTCAGAGTGTGACAATGCCAGAAGGGAGCTAAAGGAAAAGCCACCAGATTTGGCAACCAATGGCAAATATCAGTCTTGTCAGTCACTCTAACAAAAGAGGAAAATGGAAAACCTGAGCAATACAGAGACCACTTAAGGGAGCTATAAAGGAGATGTGATCTCTGGAACTGGGTCATCTTGGGTCACTTGCAGGCTTCTGGCTGTGTGGCCTTTAGCAACCTGATTTAAACCTCGATGGGGCTCTGAGGCCCTCTGCGGAAAGATGAGGGTGAGTTTTGAAGACCACGATGACTGTGAAGTGGATTTACCTATAGGAATTCAAAAATAAGATGTTAGCAGTAGGACATCAAACACCTTTAGAGAGAGTGCTTCCTTTGCATTTCTTCATATTTTCTGCTGGTATGGGACTCACACAGCCTAAGTATTAGATAGAACTTGCCATTAGTTGGGATAATTATTCCAAACTGGATTCCAGTCATGTTCTGGGTATGAGGGTGGGAAGTTGTTAATGGGTCTCACTGCACATGTCCAGCCCCTTTTCCCCCTCCTACTCTGACCTGATTTGACGTTTTGTTTTATGGGTCACTCCTCGAAGTACTAAAGGATGACTCCATGTTCTGCTCTCAGGGGTCACTCCTGGTGGACTCCGGGGACCATATGGGATGCCAGGGATCCAACCTGGGTGGGCCATATGCAAGACAAGCTCCTAACCCGTTATTCCATCCCAGCCCACCTCCATGCCCAACTGACTTGAAGAGATAGCACTGACTTTCCAATACTCCTTCCTTCAACCTCACACCCAGTTCTAACTTCTTGTCTCCCCACAATCCCTCCATAATGATTTTTGAATCAGTCTTACCTCATCCTTCATTGCAATGTCTCTGCGGATTGTTATCATTGTCTCAATTTTCACTTTTTTTTTTTCAATCCACGACCCTCTGCTGGCCTGTCTTTGAACCTGATGCCAAATGAATTACTGAATTCAGGGTATCATTAACATTGTACATCTGCCGTTTTCAAGAGCCCGGGATCATTCTCCTGGAGTGTCAGGGGCGTTCTAATACTAGGGTTGTCATTAGGCTTTATTTGGGACAATCATTTCCCCTCTAGTCTCAGCTGGGGCTGGTGGTGTCTTTCACGCACGCCCAGAACTGGCCCTTTTCCAGTCTCCTGATGAAACTCAAAATGCTTCGAGAAGACCGGGTTTGATCTCCACAGTGCACACGATGTTCTCGGCCCCTTTTCCAGCGCTAGTGCTCTTTAGTACTCGGATACTACCTTGCCTAACTTCCACTCCCGTGACTTAGTTTGGGAAGACCGGTCCCTCCTTCTGGTGGAACCTTCTCATTGCTGCACAAAAGTTGAAAGGACGGTGCCACGTTCATTTCCAACTCCCACCCTCCCCCTTCGCACCAGAGTTTGGACCAGTGGGTCTGCCCTGCGGTTGGTCTCCGGCAGCACCGGGAATGGACTGTGTCTCTGCACCCCACTCCCACCGCTTAGCCCTCGGAACGGGTGCAGGCCGGGCGTTTCCGACCCCCGGAGCGGCCACTCAGTGGGAACCCGGTAGATTTCGGAAACTGGCCACCAGCCCCCTTCGGGGTGGAGAGGGGGATGGGGGTAAAGGGGAGTGGGACCAGGGCAATGCTTCCAGGGTCGCGGGGGGGGGGGGTGGGGGGGAAATTCGTCGTCGCCCCTCGCCCGCCCCTTCTCGGCTATTGGGCCGCCTCCCAGGCGCGCCCAGTCGACGGGGCGGGGCCCACCCCATCTCCCCTCGGTTCTCCTCCCCTATTTCCCCGGGTAGGGACGTTCAGAGGCTGGAGGCGTGGAGGGGCTGCGGAGGGGCGTCCGGTTACATCTCCGCCTTCTTCAGCCTCCGGCCGGGGAGCCGCTGGGTTTGCGGGACTGGCGATCCGGTACGCGTTGGCCGCGATGCGCCGGAGCGGGGCTGCGTGGACGCGGGCGCTGCTGCTGCAGTTGCTGCTGGCGGGGCCCGGGGGCTGCTTGAGCCGTCTGGAGCTCTTTCCCTTCGGCCCGGGACAGGGGGACTTGGAGCTGGAGGCAGGGGACGACCTGGTCTCCCCCGCCCTGGAGCTGAACGAGGCGCTCAACTTCTACGACAGATCCGACATCTACTCGATCTACGTGAGTGCGACTCGGGGCCGAGCGGGGGAGCGCGCGGGGGGCTGCGCCGGCGTCTGAAGGAAGGCGGGGGGCGGGTGGGGGGCGCCGGCTGAGCCGGACGGACGTGGGCGTCGTGGGCGGGGACCGGGACCCGCAGCCGCGGACGCGAACGGTCGCGTTGGGGGTCCCAGACCGAGTGGATGCCCTCCGGGTCTCAGTTTACCTGCGCAGCGCACGCGGCTGGGGAGACCGCTGGGTCTGCAAACCCCGTGCGCGCCCCGCGGGTCTCAGCTTTCCAGAGCCCCGGGACCTGAGGGGACCCCCCTCCCCAGCCCAGTGGAGTTTCCACCCCCGCCGCTGTGGGTCGCAGCACCTCGGGGAGGTCGAGTCGCGTCTTGCCTTTGTCCTGCGCCTGTGGGGACCGGTCCCCGCCGGAGTATTGGTCCAGGTGCGGATGCGACTCCGCTCTGGGTCCTGGGACCCTGTTGGGTGTCGTGCAGGAAGGACTGGCCGGCCCCACGCTCCGCCTGTACCCCCCTGGTGTGTGTGCGTCTGTCTGTGTGTGTGTGTGTGTGTGTGTGTGTGTGTGTGTGTGTGTGTGTGTGTGTGTGTATGTTTTGGCAAACGGTTCTATTCTGTAGCGGAGCTAGCTTCAGTCCAGAGTCCAGGGCTGGGAAAGCAGACCGCCCCGCGATCCAATTTCCTGTCGCGGAACATTGTCACCATGGCGGGGGGGTGCAGGGGGGCAGAGGGGCACGAGGCCAGGTGACCTTTCGCTCTCTGGAGCCTTCTCCGGAGAGAAGCCGGGCCGGACGCTGTCACTTGGAGCCGCCGAGCCGCCTTCCCGGCCGCGCACCATGTGGCTTTCATATAAAGCCGGTGCATTCCAGAAGTGGGGGGACGACACAAACAGCGGCTGGAGCCTGTCGTCCCCGGGAAATGGCTGTGCTCGGCGTCTGGCCCGTGTACGTGTTGGCCTTGGATAACTCTCATGCGGAGCCTGTCCGCTCTGCCCCGAAGACCCGGGTCTGGACCCAGCGCGGAGCGCCGCTGTCGCCAGACCTGCCCCGTTGGGCACTCTGGGGAAGCCTGTAACATCCCTTCTTAAAAAACAAAACAAAACAAAACAAAACAACAATGCACCCCACCCCAAACCCCCATTGAAGTAGCATAGCGTTCTGACTTTCTGTTAGTTCCAGGTGAACATCATTAGAAGTCGGTATAGACTACCTTTTGTCTCACCCTGAAAAGCCCAGTTCTGTCCTTTAGCAAACAGCTCACCCCCATTTGTCCCCATGACCCAAAAGCCCAGTTCTGTCCTTTAGCAAACAGTTCACCCCCATTTGTCCCCATGACCCAAATGTTTCCCTTCTGGTAACCATTTGTTTAGCTTTAAGGTCTCTGAAACTAATACCTTTAAATGCATAAAAGAAAAATCTACAGGATTGCCAAGAAAATCAACTGTTGAAATAGGGAACAATCTAGAAAAAGAAAAACTGCAGTGTATGTATATTCTCTTCTAGTTATGAATTAAGTTTTTGTGTTTGGAGGCAGTGCTCAGAGCAGCTTATTCCTGGCTGTATACTCGGGGATCACACCTGGCAGGGATCAGGAGACCCAGGGGTGGTGGGGATTGAACCATCAGCTTTGTGCAGGGCAAGTTCTATTTACTGTACTATCTCTCCTGCTCCTGAATTAATTTTTAATTAATTAAAACTAAGCTGTGCTGGGCTTGGGGAGAGGGGGGCGGTCGACTGCCAATGATTCTCCCCGCCCCTGTGGTCTAGCAATGCCTTGTGTATATGTGTGGGGATGTGGTATTGGAGGACGGAGGTGGGGAATCAACTGAGAGTCACACTGTAGGCATGTACTCTACCTGTTAATAATCTCACTCACCCTGCGTGCTACTTCTAAACATATTAATAGCAAGGAGTAGCAGTGAATCCATTAGTGAATCTAGTCAGTGAACTTTTAGGATCCTGCGGACTGTAAACAACAGCATTTAGAGATGTCTTCTGTAACTACATGAGATTGTCAGTGACTTAGATTGCAAGTTCAATCAGGGCTTCTTCCACTGTGCCTACATTCATAATGGAAGGAAATGTTTAAAAGACAGAGGTCATGGAAATTTTTTTTTCTTTTTGGGTCACACCCGGCGATGCACAAAGGTTACTCCTGGCTTTGCATTCAAGAATTACTCCTGGCAGTGCTCAGGGGACCATATGGGATGCTGGGAACCGAACCTGGGTCAGCTGCGTGCAAGACAAACGCCCTACCCGCTGTACTATCGCTCCAGCCCCCATGAAATTTTTTTTAAATTAAACATTAGTTAACAGACCCATTGATTTCTATTCCTTTAACCCTTATGGAATATCGTTGGACCCCAAGTTAAGAACCCGCACATCAAATATGACCTCCTTTAAGTGTGACCTCTGCCTTGATCCCCTGGTAGCACCCACTGAGTGGTTGGTCATTTCCTAGGGGCCCTATTTCCTTGTTCTTGGACAGGAGATCTCCCCCCACCAAACACAGCCAGAATATCTAGAATGCACAAATATTGGCTTCCTTTGACTGGGATTTATATTGCCCCAGTTTACTAATGGAAATCCCATGGTAATTGGAAGCTCTGATAGATAAAATGGACATATATGGAGGACCCGCTTGGAATGGGAGATGCGTGCCGAAAGTAACTATAGACCGAACAGAACGGCTGCTCAATACCTCTCTTGGAACCCACAACACCCAAAAGGAGAGAGAGAACAAAAGGGAATGCCCTGCCACAGAGGCAGGGTGGGGGAGGGGGGTGATGGGAGGGGTGGTGGCGGGAGGGATACTGGGATCATTGGTGATGGAGAATGGGTTCTGGTGGAGGGATGGGTACTCTCGATCATTGTATGACTGAAACACAAGCATACAAGGTTGTAAGTCTATAACTGTACCTCACAGTGATTCACTAATAAAAAATTAAAAGCACTGTCCTCTCATTGTTCATCAGTTTGCTCGAGTGGGTCCAGTATCATCTCCATTGTGAGGCTTATTGTTACTGTGTTTGGCATATCGAATATGTCACAGGTAGCTTGCCAGGCTTTGCCATGTGGGCGAAATACTCTCGGTAGCTTGACGAGCTATCCAAGAGGGGCGGACGAATTGAACCTGGGTCGGCCAGGTCAGCCACATGCAAGGCAAAAACACCCTACCCGCTGTGCTATCGCTCCTACCCCCAAAAAAAAATTTTAAAAAATGGAAAGAATTTTAAAAAATGGACATATAAATTAGTTATATTTAGTCTGGTGTTTGTTTTAGAACTCAAATCCTTCAGACTATGAAAAATAATAAAAGGATGTGATGCTTGGAAGCAGAATGGTACCCCACCGCTTCCTGCTTCAACCCCCCCGCCTCCAGTGCTTTGTTAAAAATTTATAAATTTGGGAATCATCGGTGGCATTTAAAACAGAGACTTAAATTAGCTGTACTGAGACGGTCTGTATCCCTAGAAAAGAGCTCTACGCTCTAAGAGACAGTTCAACAGTCAAGGAAAAGATGAGAAGCAGAGATGGGAGATGGAAGCCTGTAAGGCAAGAAAGAACAAACAAACAAGGGTGGGTGCTAGAAGCAGAGTGAATAACCATGTTCAATGCTACTGGGGGGCAAAAAGGATGAGCACTCTGAGTTGGCCAGGGGATTGACCACACAGTGGCCACCTTGGCCTTTCTCCATTTCACCTTCATAGTAGGCCCTGGCAGCCCCATCTTTCTTATCACCGAAATGGACACTTTGTAGCTGTGTTCCATTTCAGTTCCCTTCTCTGCAGTCCTGACATAAGAGGAAGATAGATTCCTTGACCAGGACTCAGGATCTCGTCCAGTCTTTCCAGTTTTATTATTATTATTTTTTTAACTGCAAAGTTCTAAATGTCTTTTTTTAAAATTTGTTTTTATTATTTTTTAAAAATTTTTATTAGTGAAACACTATGAGGCACAGTTGTAGACTTACAAATTTTGTGCTTGGGTTTCAGTTATACAGTGATCCAGTACCCATCCCTCCCCCAGTGCCCATTTCCAGCTTTATTTTTTATCATCACTAAACATTTCACAGAAAAATAAAATACCTTACTTTAGCCCCCTGTGCATTCCTTCACTCTAGCAGCACTTTATCTCTCTTACTTCCCAGATTCTTCCCTGTTCTCCCAGAGTCAGCAAAAGTCTTTCTTCCTGTCTGGCAAGTGTCCAGGTTCCATTGCGCTCTCTCTCTCTCTCTCTCTCTCTCTCTCTCAGCTCTTACGGCTCTGGAACGCTAATGTTGGTTGATAGTAGACTCTGATAGACCCATGTCTTTTTTTAATCTGTTCATTCCTTGGGAAGCATGGACAGAGGGAGGTCTCTTCTGTGTATTTACATTCCTGTTGGGCTACTTACCTTGGATGTTTTCCAACTTCTATAAGCCTTGGTTTGTTCACTTGTAAAACAGAGACATTACTGCCTATCTCTCATAGAGCTGTGAACATTAGTTAAATATAAACAGTTTTGCATGTGGTATTGTGATATGGTACTGTGTTCCAAAACTCTGCGTTTTCGTCATTGGGAACAGAAATTGCGTCTTTTGAAAACAAAGCAAAACAAAAAACCTTTGTCCCATACTTTATTCTGGAGTCCTTTGGTACCTGTGCATGGGGGGATCCCTAGCAGGGCTGGGAACGGGGCTGGGTGGGTTGGGAGGGTGTAGCTGAAGCCACTTCCAGAGATTCTCTGCCAACCAGATTGAACCAGGCTCAAAGCGAGGGTCTGAGGATGCAGAGTCACCTGAGCCCTGTGGTGCTAGGAGCACTAGGATCACTCCTGTGGTACTAGGGCTCTACCCAGTGATGCTGGAAGTAGGGGAAGGTAGAATAAAACTGGGGTCCTGCCCATGTAGAGCACTTACCCCTAACCCTCGCGCTCTCCTCAGCGTATTGCTAGATTGTATGTAACTTTCTTTTTTGTTTTTTGGGTCACACCCAAGTGATGCACAGGGGTTACTCCTGG